GAATGTTTGGTTGTTGGTGGACGTGCATAATGAGCAGGAGTTTGCTTGTAAAGTGCTGAATAGGGACGTGTGGTATGACGAGAGGATCAAGACGCTCATCAGGGAGAACTTCATTTTCTGGCAGGTGCGTGGCATCATTTTGAGTGTGGCCATTTCGAAAAATTTTAATTTGGGGATTTTTCGATTTTTATTCCAGGCCTTTTTCAAGATTCATTCAGAGATTTTTGACCTTTATTTAGCGATTTTTTGAATTTTGTTGGTGATTTTTTGAATTTTGTCAGTGATTTTTTGAATTTTGTCAGTGATTTTTTGAATTTTATTTTAGGATTATTTAAAATTTCATCTGGGGATTTTTTTTGAATTGTATTGGTTTTGAATTTTTGGAGACAACTACCATGTTTTACTTGCATACCATGTTAAAATTTTTCCTTTGATTTCAAAATTTACTTGTTTCATCATTCAGTTCAAGTTTTTTATTGATGGTGGTGTGTCTTGAATCTCTTGATCAGTGTGTGATTTGGTCATGTTTCACTTCAGGTACCAATGAAGTCTGAGGAAGGGGAAAGATTCCTTAACTTTTATCCTGTGGAGAAATGGCCCAGTTATTGTGTGATTGATCCAAGGACTGGGGAAAGGCTGGTGACATGGGACACTACAGATGCTGATGTGGTCTATCAGCTGCTCAATGACTTCCTGGGAGACAGGCCAAATCCTAATGATGCTGATGAGCCAAAGCAAACAGTGGCTGAAGTGTCTAAAAATGTGAGTTTCTTCAGTCAAACAATTTTTGAACTTTTGTTGATTATTTTTTCCCCATCTCAGATCAGCAAGATTGAGTTGAATGGGAAACCAGGATCAACTTCTGGGAAGTTGATGGTGAGTTAACTGAATTAGTCACCATTTTATTTTGAGTCAAGTTCTCTTGGGGAGCAAAACTTTTGTTTCAAAATCTTCTGAATCATTGAGTGATCAGGTATAATAAGACCTTTTTTCATTTGTTACCTTTTGAAAGAAAAAATTGATTTAATTTATTTTTTTGAACTGCTTTACATGCATTTTTAGTGGGAATTTCAATGAGAACATAATTCAAATATCTGAAGCATTTACTTGTAGAAAATGTTAATCTGTGCTCATCAAATTTTGAGTGAATAAGGTGATGAAAGCCTCAGATTTGTTTGCAGAAAGAATTTAATTATCATTGAAGGACATAAT